TATATAATTATACCCATAGAGTATGTGCAGTAGTATTTTGTACTTTTTCTTAACATGAATGGTATCATACTAATGTATATGTATTATTCTGTACCTTCCTTTCTTTACTCAACAGTGTGTGCCATGATATATACAGCTCTAACTCATTTTTATAAATAGTGTAGGTATATCACAGTTTAGCCATTTCGTAGTTGAACATTTTAGATTATTTTCTAGTTTTTTCGTTACTATAAGTGATGCTGGGTGAGTATCCTTGTACATACCTCTTTGGACACATGTAATGAGTAGTGGAATTTCTGGATTATAGGGCATGACATTCAAAAAATTAAGAGATATTGTCAAATAATGCTCCGGCATTGTTTTTCCAAATTATACTCCTATCAGCAGTGTATGAGAGTGCCTGTTTTCCTGCAGTTTGTCCAATATTGTTATTTATCAAAATGTTGGATCTTGGCCAATTGAATGGGTGAAAAATGGCATCTGATATTTTAATTCATGTGTTTTTAATAATTAGAGTTTGAACTTATTTTAAATGTTTGTATGCATTCTTTTTTTTCCTGTGAATGCCTGTTCATGGCACTATTTTTCCTCTAAGGTTGTTGATATTTTTCTTATTAAATTGTAAGAAAGCTTCTATATTAAGGAATAATAATAATTGCCATTTATTGTTTACTGTGTGCCTAGTGTTGCTATATGCATTCTACCTAGATTAGCTCATTTAATCCTCGTGATAGTCCAGTGTGGTAGATATTGCTATCATCCCCATTTTAAAGATGAAAGTGAAGCAGAGAGAGGAAAAATAATTTGCCTAAAATTATCCAACTGTTAATAGTTATTGGCAAAATTAGGATATGAACTCCAGTAGTCTGGATTCAGAGCCTGTATTCCTAATTACAGGTGAAACTTGCCTGACTCTCACCTCCTGCTGTGCGGCTTCCAAGTTCCTAAGTTTCATGGAAGATAATTTTTCCAGCGACCAGGGGTGGGGGTGAGGGAGGGGTGGTAGGGACCCCAGGTGGCCTGGTCCCTAACAGGCCACAGACTGCTACTGGTCCATGGCCTAGGGGTTGGGGACCACAGCTGTAAAGCATCCTAAGGACATTAACACTTTGTCCTATGTGTTGCAATCTGTATATTTAAATTTTTTTTCTAGTACTTTTACATATTTCAATACAAATTCTTTGATGAACCAGGAATTAATTTTGGTATAAGAAGTGATAGGGACACAGCTTTTTTCTTTTTAATAAGCTTTTTATTTTAAAATAGATTTAGATTTTAGAAAAGTTGCAAAGACAACAGAGTTTCCACTTAACCCTCACCCAGTTTTCCCTATTGTTAACAACTTACGTTACTATGGTACGTTTGTCACAACTAAGGAATCAACACTGGTACATCTGTACTTTATTTGAATTTCACTAGTTTTTCCCTAATGTCCTTTTTCTTTTCCAGGATCATTCCGGGATACTATATTACATTTAGTCATCATGTCTCCTTACCTTCCTCTGGTCTGTGATAGTTTCTAGGGATCCGGTATTATTTTTTATCAGCTGGTTAGCTGGTTGTGCTAGTACTATTTGTTTAGTAATTCATCATTTTCCCAAGTATTTGAAATGGTGGTTTTATTATATGCTAAATTTCTATATTTATACATTTCTTTTTCTGGGCTCTTTATTGTATTTATCTTTTTGTCTATTTTTGTCTTATTCCTAATTGTTTTAATTACGGTACCATTATAATACCATTTATTTAATCCCAGGTAGTATTAGCTTCCTCTTATTATTCTGTTTTTCCATTAGAATTTGCCTGATTGTTTTTCCCTGGTGTATTTTTTAAATGGAATGTTTGGAAAGCTAATGGGTCCATAATTTAATGGAATAAGTCT